GTTAGTAGAGAGAGAGAGAGAGAGAGAGGGATTTTAGGGCCATCAGTTGTTAATTATGCGGTTGATTTTCATTTCTTTGATCAGATTACTTGGTATTCAGGCCTATTGGGCTTCTCTTCTCTGGAAGTGATTCATCGCACTTTAAACATCGAGGTGTAAGTACAATTTGCAATTTTAATTATTTGAAAATTCCCACTCTCTCTCTCTTTTCCTTTTTTTTTTATTTTTATGGATAGATCTCTTATGCTGAAATGTGGTATGGTGTTACACTGTTACTTATTGATGATGAATCCTGCCATTTTTCATGTGAATGTTTAAAGTTATCTTCGATTTTTTCTTGTCAGTGTTTTGTTTCCAAAGAGGTGCCTATCCTCACTGAGATTTCATGGTGATGATTTATTTCTCTTATGTTTTAGGGCTCTAAACCAGATTTTGCTGTCTCAGCAAAGCGCAATTCAAAGCAGAAACTTTCACGGAACAGAGGAAAACTTGAACAGAATACGATCCAAATCACACAGACTCCATTAGATGAGCTCGATAGGGTTCCGAATTCCATTAGCGCTCCAATTGATAATCCTTCTAGTCAAGATGATTTCATTCATAAGAGCAGTCATGAAATACTTGTTGATGATAAGAGCTCTCTTCGTAGGCCTTCGAGGGATAGTGTGCTCCAAGCTTGTGTTCTCACATCTGGCTCCATATTTGCTTTGGGAGCAATAATTCGACAGGTGAAATTCTTGTGCTTTTGTCTGTTGTTTTACTTATTTGTGATGAACTGAACTCTTTTCTTTGAGCAGTTGAGCTGACAGTCTATTTCAGGATTTTAGAAAAACCTAAAAGAGCCAGTGATGTAGATTTTTTTTTTTTTGTTCTTTGATAGATCGAAGTCATTGGCGCATTGTTTTTCTTGGCCCAGTTACTCCATATTTTGGACTGGTTTTAGTTGGCTTAAGTTGCCTTTTTTTTTATTGTACTAATTATTACCTAGTAAATGTTTGTAAGTGGATGAGAATCTGTCTTTGCATCAATCCCTATCTTGGTAGATGGCAGGCGAGATGTCAATATTTCATTTGATGGCTTAGAAGTTGTAATAGAGTTATATTGAAAACGAGGTTCAATTGCTCCACTTGGACTCGGGACATGGGACTCAGGCCTCCACAGCTGAGTAACTCAGGCAAATCCGAGTGGATAAAGAAAAACAAAAATTTAAAATTTTTTTAAGAAAAACAGTGAAAAGGACACTGGAATAAACAACATTAAAAGTCCAAAAAAGGTGGAAAAATAAAAAATAAAAGATGGAATTTGGAAAAAAAGATTTATAACAGGAAACAATTTAGAAAATTCACAAAAGGGGAAAAGTAGAAAAATATAGCATATGAGAAGAAAAAATCACAAATCATCATCAAAAATCAAAATTATTATAAAAAATTAATGATTGATTGAGTAAACAATATAAATTTCTGTTTTTTATTTTATGTAATCGAGTTTGTACCTAGGAACTCAGCTCGACAAGGTGCTGAGTACCACGTAACTCGGCTGAGTTGAGTTTATCCAGTCAAGATTTAAAACCATGCTGAAAATGTAAATAATATTTTCATATACATGGCCAGCAAGTCGAGAATTACCATATTAGAAGCTTGGTTACAACTCAATGTTTTTAATCATTTGGTGCCATAACTTAGCATGAGTTTAATTACTACGAGCTGGTAAGCCTCTTTTTCTGCAATGTTGATGAAATGGAGCCCTACTTGAGCATGAATATGATGATTTGGACCTGGGAAGCATCATTTTTGACGTCATTACGCCCAAAACAATCATGTGATATGAGAATATGACTGGGACTGAGTAAGATCAATTTTTATTCAGATATTAGAAAGCAAATTTGGTAAGCTGCATTATTTATGATTTCTCCGTAATTAAAAACTCATTCATATGTAAGGAGCTGCTTCAGGTTGCCTTCTGTTTTTTGTATTATTTCATACCCATGATCTTTATTTTGATGAGTCATTTATTCCTGATCTGCATTTATGAATTTCGAGTCATTGACATATAGGGTTTCATAAAATGAATATGATTCAGTATATGGGATTTCGATCATAAGTTTTATTTATCTGTCTGCTACTATTTTCAGAATTTGGAATCGCTCTTTTGAATTTGAAAGTCTAGCAAAGTATTGTCCGTTTCCATAAAGTGAGTCTCTTGTTCTTTTTCAGTTGAATATGGACAGAGATTATTGTGGCATTGAGAATCTACTTCCTAACTATTTTAGAATTAATTTGATTTATTGGGCACGGAACCAATTGTTCTTCGAGTATTCTTCTTAAGTTGAACAGCTCACAATCATTTCTAATTTTATTTTGCAGATATCTCATATTTCATCCATGGAAGGATGGGCAGTCCCTGACACCCTAATGGATGTATCATGTAAATATTTCACCTAATGTTTTTAATGTCTACACGCTATGCAATACCTTCATTGGCCATTAAAGAGCGAAACAGTATCAATAAATGGAATAATACATATGCCTATATTGGTTGTATTATGATGCTAATGCTACCAAAAAATGGCAATAATGAGATTTGCTGCAGTTTTAGCTTCTCACTGTAAGATTCAGTCTTTTTCTAGCTTGTTGGTCTTTAGGTAGCTTGTTACAAATGTCAATGCTTGCCCTGTGAAGTTTTTGGCATATTCTGATGAATGGAGAATGGTCACTGACTACTGAATGTTCGTCTTCCCAGTTGACTTTGAATGGTGGCATCTTCAATTAATCACAGGTTCCATAATAACAGTATCATCATGCCGGTATTTCCTTTTGAAGATGTGGCCTGAATTTGCAGAGTCTAGTGAAGCAGCTAATCAACAGGTGGGCAATATATGATTCTTTCCTTATTTACTGAAAATATAAGTCCAAGACCTATAAAGTGTGTCCAAAATGAGTTTCTGGTGCTGTTAGCGATCATGTTTGGGTAGTTCAGATGAAACAAGGATGCTAGATTCATGATTCATGTTTTCAAAACTTATTTCTGATGAACCATTTAGGAAGTTCTGATTGTTCAGACTATAAACCTTTGGCTAGGCAGTGCAAGATTTAATCTGGGACATCTTATGTTTATTGGATCATCATCATAGCTTTTTTCCAACTATTTGGGGTCGGATACATGAATCCTGGTCCGTCACTTTGCTCTCAGTAAGGCCATAAGTCCCCATATCTTTTGTAACTACTTCCAATCATGTCCTTTTGGGCCTTCTCTTTGTCCTTTTTGAACTTTCCACTTGAACCAACTTGCACCTCCTAACAAATGCATTAAAGCTTGGATATTTGAAATGATCTCTCTTTATGTTTCAGCTGTTTTCTTTCTGTCTCATAGAAATGGAGCTGAGGTCTCTTGGGCCTCTTGATGTGTGGTTTTTAGAGTAGTGTTTAAATCATATTCTTGATTACTTGCCACCTTATCATCTCTTGAGTGGGCTTTTCTAATTTATTCTATTTTCCTTCTTGGTTCAATCCTTTATGCTTATTGCTTTTGTTTCAAGTAAAACTCAGATTAAATAAATCAGATTCAAATGAGAAGCATGTTACCCTTAAGCTTTGGATTAGATTTCAATCCTGAAATTCTACTGGTATGACAAGCCATACTGTTTAATCACTCTGAAAGCCTCTTTCACTAGGTTCCAAACAGAAGGCATAAATAGGTTGTTTGCTCATGCAGGGTAAAAAATAACCACTCTATTTCTGCCATCTTGCTCATTTCTAGTTTGAAATAATAAAAATGAAAGAATTAATAATGCAGCATCCTTTGCTCTATAACTAATGAAATAATTAGTTACCCAAATTTCTTTTAAAACTTACCCCAAAAAAAACTAACGAAATAATTTAAAAAATCATAGTATTTAAAGATAATTTATTTGGTAACTGGAGAATAAAATGACCTTCACCTTGTACCCCGTTTTTGTCTTTTCTGCGCTCGATGTCTTTCAGGTTCTGAGCTCTTTAAATCCATTGGATTATGCTATGGTAGCTTTCTTACCTGGAATAAGTGAGGTAAAGTGCATTTTAAGAGAACATTGGTCTGATTTCTTTTGAACATTGTCAATCATAAGCACCATGTGACAAACTAACTTTGACCTTGTAGGAGCTCCTTTTTCGTGGGGCACTTCTGCCCCTTTTTGGGCTAAATTGGAAGAGCGCCTTAGTTATAGGGTCTCTATTTGGAGCTCTGCACTTGGGAAATGGCAGGAAACTATCCTTTGCGATTTGGTAAATCTTTCTTTTCATTAATTATTTGTGAAATTCTTTTGGTGCTCAATGTGTTTCACATACACTCCATAACTTTGGCATCAGTAAGATCTAATAAAAACGTTTATGCATAGTTTTCTTTTTTAAGAAAAAGGTAATGTCATGTTTTGAAAATGCATTAAAATGATTAAACTGTTGGAAATATGATGAGGACTGCTAACTTGCTCTAGTATTATGATCTGGCAGGGCTTCAGTTGTTGGGTTCATTTACGGTCTCGGAACCATTATGTCCTCTAGCGTGCTTGTACCCATGGCTTCTCATTCATTGAACAATCTTATAGGAGCTACATTGTGGCGATACAGTTCTAAGAACAAAACTGAAATGTGATCTGGTCCTATTATTGAAGCTACAGAATTGTAAGATATAAATGCCATTTAAGTTCTTGATGTGTACTATTGTCATCGTATCCCCTTGATATGGAATTTTGTCCAAGTGTAGAAAATATTGTTGACTTGATATAATCATACCCTGCAACCACTATTTAGATTTTTGAAAAAGGATTTGGTTAAAAAAATATCTGATGCGGTATAAAAGGAACCTTCTTTTTTTGCTAATCATTTCAACATTTCAATCTTCTGCCTCTATATTGTTTGAACTATAGTGTTTGTTGAGTGCTGGTTCCAATTGTCTACACTTTGAACGTATTTGAGTCCTGGCCACCTAAATAGTTCATGGAAAGACAGTGGAGGCCGGTTTTTATATATATATA